GTCACAGAACGCCCAGAACGGAGTTCCAGCACCTTTTTTGAATGGAACCTTGTAGGGTAGGCAAGGCGGGTTGTATGACATGTGAGAGTTCCGGCACCTTTTTTTTTTTTTTACAAAAAAAGCACTGGTAACAACTAAGGGACAATCACCCTGAAGCAGCACATAATCCCAACATATGAAAGAACTTTTGGAAGGAGGCAAAGATTGTATGCCATTTTACACAATTTAAGACTTTTTATATAAGGTTTAACCATAAAAAACTTACATGCCTGTGTTAACTTGCAAAGCTAGGGAAGCAGAGTTAACCCCAGGACAAAGCCTAATGTTAGGAAAGGTGTGTCTTCTACTGCTTTGATGATATTTCTGAATAGGACATATCACTGCATGGGATCCCCAAAGTAGCCTCTGAAAGTTACCATGAAGTTTTGATAGTTATCCATAATATAATTGCTGCATTTGATTATGAGAAGTACCCACTGCAGCACAATGCAAGGCTGCTGGGAAACTCGATATGAAGAAGATCCATCATCAATTGGTTAATGAATTCTGGCCAGGTGCCAATAAACAACCCACACTGTGCTATAGCAATAGCACTTACACTTATATACCCCTCCTTATATACCACCCAGCACTCTCTGGGCAATTTACAACATCAGCATGTTGCCCCCAACAATCTGGGTCCCCATTTTACTGACTTTGAAAGGATGGAAGGCTAAGTCAATCTTGAGCCCTGTCAGGATCAAACTCCAGGCTGTGGGCAGACTTAGCCTCCAGTACTGCATTCTAACACTGCGCCACCAAGGCTATGAAGATTCTAATCTTTTCTGATGTTCCTCCAAACCTTTCGGGCAAACAGCTGTGAGTTCTCTGCAGCACAGGCAATGTTGCCATAGTGGGAACTGGAACCAACAGAGGCATAGGAGGCAAATTCTGCATCTGCTGGACCAACTGGAGCATCATAGCTGACATATTTTGCATCTTGGCACCGCAGAACAGCCTCCATCGTGGTATTGTCAACTGCTACTCCAGGTTGCAAGTCTGATGCCATCCTAGGAGATTTTTCATTGTGTTCCAATGAAAAGTTTTGAGGTGAGCTCAAAGAATCAAGACAACACATTAAGTTTCAGTTAAGAAGATATATTGCTCATGCCTATACTTAAGAATCTAGTCAACTAATGGTCAGCAGTAAGTTGGTGCTAGATAAAAATCAACAGAAATCAAGGGGACCCGAATTTGAATTGCTTGTGGGAACATAACAATTCCAGATTGATGCCTCTCTTGATTTGGCTCCCAGGCACTGCCTCTTCTTCTCCTACAGTTGAGGACTACAATAATGTGTGGTGCACAGTTATCTTCTACACTGTGATGTGTCCTATCCTTGGAAGACAACCGTCACAATGCAGTATTAACATTCAATTATCTAAATTGTTACTAACACAGCATAAAAGAGGGTAGTTAACAGATCTTGCATGATGAAGTCAATTAAAGATTTAACATCCTAGGTATGCTACAGCATTCTCCTTCCTATAGACGTTTAGACCATTCACAATCGAGGACTTCATCTAAATTAATTTGGAAATAGACCAAGGAAGCTCATCTCTGCTTCCAGGCAAGGAGAGCTAGAAATTCAGCATGAGTTTCTAGCTTGCTTAGCAACACAGATCAAGTGAAGTGAGTTCCTTCCTTCAGCTTTGCTGCTTAAAATCTTTTTCCTGATTTAGTTCTGGTTATCACCTTGTCCTAAATGCAGCAACAGAGACAGATTGAAAAGTGTAAGAGCTGCAGAAGCAACACATCTCCTTCCACGCTAATAGTGTAGTGGGGAGCAGCTGACCTTTTAAATCAAAGGCCAGTCAAATGAGCCCAGAGGCTCATAAAAAGAGAAGAAAAGGGTTCTGACAGGTTTTGGCAGGATGAGCTTGGGGTGCTTTTTGCGGAAGAGTTGGCTGGGTGCTGGGTGCTGGGTGCTAGGTGCTGGGGTTACCTCAGGCAAGTTGCTTTAGTTAGAATTGCATTATTTTCTTTTCTTTTCTTTTTAATTTAAACTTTGTGTTAGTGGAAACTTTTTTTTTTTAGTTTTAATAAAGGTTATTTGTTTCAGTTCCAACAGAAAATTCCAAAATTGCCTTTTATCACCTTTTATCAGCTTGGCAGAGGTAAAGATTCCCAAAGTTTTATTTTGGTTTCTCTTTGGTGTTTGGCCAGTCCAAGTTTGGGCTGAGGATTTCCTTTTCAATCCTCTTCTGGCTCCCCAGAGGGCTGGTGTGAAAGATTGAAACTGCCTTAAAGTGAAGGGGTGGTGGCAGAAAGGATACCTAATTAGCCAGTGGCCTATGAGGTAACCAATCAGCATAGGAGCTCAGAGGATGAGCAGGTTTGATGCTGAGGGTGTTTTGTTCCCTCATCACAGGGCAGCAGAAGTGGGATACCTGTAGTTGACTTACAATCACAAATGAGCCTAAAATTTCTGTTGCTCAGTGAGACATTTGTTAAGTGAATTTTGCTCCATTTTACGACTTCTCTTGCCACATTTGTTAAGTGAATCACTGGAGTTGTTAAGTTAGTAACACAGTTAATTATGTGAATCTGTCTTCCCCATTGACTTTGCTTGTCAGAAGGTCACAAAAGATGATCACATGACCCAGGAACACTGCAACCGTTATAAATATGAGTCAGTTGCCAAGTCGCTGGATTTTGCTCATGTCACCATGGGATTGCAGCAACAGTCATAAGTGTGAACAGTGTTCATAAGTCACTTTGTCAGTGCCGTTGTAACTTCGAACAGTCACTAAATGAACTCTTGTATGTCGACGACTGTCTATATTGAATACAACATAGGTCCAGTTTAACTAATTTCACATTATAACCCACTTTCATTGTGCAGATTTTCTGGCTAGAGCTTCTAAAAAAGTATTGCCAGTCAAGGTTGAAATAACTTATGCCATTTGCAATACATATCTTTGTAAGAGAACCTTATTTTCATAAGCAGCAAGTACAGTAATAGGCTAAGTATAAAAGATGATCTCTGCTTACAAGTAGCATCAATTGTTCCAAATACTGAACTTTTTCCCAAGGAAATGCAATTACACCTAATAATTGAATATTGAAAGAATATTGAATATTAAAAGAAATATAGTACTCCACTTCATATCCTTAAGGAAGAACAGATAGTCCTCATTTAACAACCACAATTGAGACTGGCAACTTCATCACTAAATGATGTGGTCATTAAGTGAGTCATTACATTACTGCGACTTGCAATTTCACTGCTGGCTTTTTCATTAACTGCTTGTTGGAAGCCAGCTGTGAAGTGCACAAATGGGGATCAAGCGATCAGTGGGATGTCATAGTTTGAGGACCAGTCATAAAATAGCTTTTTCAGTGTCAGTGTAACTTCAAACAGTCACTAAACAAGGCAGTCATTGACCAAGAATTTACCTGTAATAAAATTTCTGTTAAAGTTTACGTTTTGTGGTGCTTATTAAGTGAATGTTAAGTTAAAATTTAACTTAAAAGATAAAAGACTATTAATCTTAGTGAATGCTAGCCTTGCTGTGTACAGAAAAGCTGATCAATAAATACATTACGTCAATAAAAAATATGCAAATAGATTTGATAATGAGTAAAGTTAATGTTTTAGAAAAATATATTTACAACTGGAAACTTTTAAGTTACATTTTGGGTATTTTGAAATTTTATTTTTTATGTAACATATTTATGTAACATGTATATTATTTTGCACATTTTAGAAAAATATAAAAGTACATTCTATTTTGCAAAGAAAAGACAGAAAAAGTAATGTTTTTCTAAGTGATTCCATTCCTGGCTACCATATGTGAAAGATAATTATTAGGTTTGGCCCTGGTGGGCTATATCCAATATATTCCTGTGGAGCAACAAAATTCCTTACTTTCCTCTTCCTACATCCTATAGGAACCTAAGGTATACCTTCAGAATAAATTTTATATTAATGCAAGCCAGTGATAAAAACAGTTCCGTTATTATAATTAAATATATCAGCTCCCAATTAGGAAGAAAAGTGTTATTTTGGGAAAATAAGTTTACTATATCCTTGACCTTAGCAAACTGGAAATAGCTAGGATGCTATAAATGCTATTGCTTCCAGATTGTTGAGATTTTTTTATTGCAAGTATCAACCATAAATGTAACTGTCATAAATCTCTATGGAGATTCTCAAGCATCCAAATCTATTTGAGCTTCATGTGACCATAAAAATACCAGAATCAGATTCTAACCACATTGCTTTGTATCAGAAAAGCCTTCATGGCTACACCAGTTCTAGCATAATGTGACTCCATTAAAACTGGATGAAAAGTCTGCAAGATCAAGTAATAGTAAAAGAGTAAAGCAGTGACAGAAGCTAAAGAATAGTTAAGTTTTAAACTAAGAGTGCTGATTTAGTAACACTAAAGTGATTAAAAAATCTAGGCTCCCAGAAGAATTTGGAATGATATTGAATCCCTTTTAATTACTTCTATCAATTAAATTTGTACATTCCACATCCAATTATAGCAGGCAGAACATATAGATTTAGGGCTTCAGTTAATCTTTAATTCCTTTTTCAATCTAGCTCATATTGTCCTAATTCCCTGCAACAAAAACTTGGAGAAAGCTAGTAGTAGCTATATATTTAGCAGCTGTTTAAAAGAATACTATAACTCTAACAACATCAAAAATTTCTTTGGAAAAGGATAGCAGTTAAGGGCAAAGTATGAGTCAAAAACAGTGCCAGGCAAATTAATTATTTGTACAGCATGACCAGAGTCCCGTAAGGGAGATAGGGCGGTATATAAATTTAAATTTAAATAATAAATTTAAATAATAATAAATTTAAATAATAAATAAATATGTTCTGCCCCACATAATCACATTACAGTAAAATTGGTTTAGTACTGTATTTCTCAATCTTTTCCCAATCTTAGTTGCTCTAAATATGTTAACCAACTCACAGAATTCGCCAGCAAGCATGCTGCCTGGGGGATTCTGGGATTTGAGGTCCACACATCATACAATTCCTGAGGATGAGAAGCACTGGTTTGGTGTACCACTATACAAAACATGAAGTTCTAAGAAATGAAACTACAAGAAAAAGATATATTTACAAAGTTGGAAAGCCAGTTGGCTATCTAATTATTCCTATTATTGCCAGATCTTGATTACCCCATCCCAGGCACAGGTGGCAAGGAGTGATGGAAGGACTGGATGGTAGGCTGCATTCACACAGGCTTGACTATGTGCTGACATGACATGGAGAATTTGAGCTGTGCGATAGTTGTAGAAAAATACTTTGCCATCTGAGCTCCCTGTCACAAGAAGTGTTCCATCGGGTGAAAACTCACAGCCTACTGCAAATCCTTCAACCTGTTTGAGTCAAGAATTAAGAGCAAATAAATCAAGATGTTAATTAAGAAATTACAATATGATAGATTAGAGCTTCCTGAAATTTTACACTATAATAAACTTGTCAATTTTTACCATAATGGCCTAATCGCTTTCCTTGGTATTTAATAAGACTGCCCCATTAAAGACTTGTCATTGTTAGCAGTACTTGCTGAATATGTGACAAGCTTATCTATCTATCTATCTATCTATCTATCTATCTATCTATCTATCTATCTATCTATCTATCTATCTATCTATCACCAATTGGTGCTCTATTTCAGCCAGTGTAACCTTTCACTGGCTGAAATAGAGCACCAATTATTGAATCAAGAAACCTCAAATGGGTTAACATACAGAATGCACCCAAAATCTGGGACTCAGGACTCCCATGGAATTGAAATTTGGTTAATTTTCTAAAATCTTTTATGACAAATATTACCATAAATCTGTTTATGACATAATACAAAATGTTATACAATATTTTCTGTGCTGATGTTTGATTATGCTATGCAGATCAACATAGCTATTTTCAAGGCAGTGTGTTAGAAATACTGTCACTGTTGATGGCATTGAAGAATCTGGTAAGGAAATATCTCTGAAATGATGACCCAAGGGGTCAAAGTTGCCTAGTTCTTAATTAATAATGCTTTTAGTTACTTTACTGCAGTTTAAATTCTACATGAATTAAATTACAGACAATAGTATGGAAGCCTATTAAATTGTATTCCTACTGAAAAGCAGTAACATAATTTGGTATATTAAAGGAATAAAACCTGTTGATGGATGCATACCTTGTGCCCTTCAAACCTCTTCTTTTTGTTGATTCGATAAGGTGGCAGGCTGGAAAATAAAGCCATGTAGTTGCCATTTGTCTGAGCAACAAAGGCAGGCTCTTTAGGATGAACTGAAAGACTGGGGCAAGTAAAACGTTCCTGCCAAGAAAATTAGAAAGAAATGAAAATGTTCATAGACTCTGAATCAAACTATATATGATACCTCAGTCTCTGTTTGTGACCCTAAAGATTCCCCCCAAATTGACACCTTCAAAAAACAGGTAACCCAACAACAGGTTTAGAATATGATGTAGGGGTGTCAAGAAAGTTTGTGATTGTGCTTTAGATTCTGATCCAAAAAAGGGGGTGGCACGATAAGGTCTTGCTTACCATTCTTCTCCCAGGATCACATGGCAGCTCTAGAGAGCAACTGCGCGATTCCAAGAAAATGCACAGCTACCTTAAAGTTGTGACAAGTGCTGCACTCATGCTCCCACATGCTCCAAAACCTCTCTCCTGAATTATTTCCAAAGTGCTACACAGCCCTAATATCAATTCTCCAATATACTTTATGTATTTATTTTATTTTTAAAATATAAAACCTCAAATCCCTCAAACGTTTACCCTTTCCTATCCAGTGACATATCTGCATCACTAACATGCCATCTTCAACCTTTAGAGGCTGGTAAAATGCTTATTCAAACAATGTCCCAGCACAAAAAGGTAGTCTGTCTCTATCCTACTGCAACCAAACCTGAAGCGATAGAACCCCATCCTACCCCCGCCAAAAAAAAAGAAAAAAAAAGAATCTGTATTTCCACCTGCCTCACTTTCCAGGTATTTCCTGAAGCTGATTATAAGCCATTTAAGATAGAAACTTCTCTTTTTATTCCCTTTGAAATACCATATATTGCTAACAATAGAGTGTACACTAAATTAAGCTAAATTGAAATTTCTTGGAAAATAGATTTCATTTTCTGAAAATGTGTGTCTCTCCATATACTCATATGAACCACTGCAGATTTACTTAATCCTTATGGATAATATTTTATAAACTCTACCAACCCCTACATTTGATCACAACAGAGTAAAAAATCTGAGACACAATCAAAGAAAGTAGTTGTCATGACTTTGACTGCTATTAATCTCTTCAAAGGCCTCAACCTCTCTCAATAACGTATGTGTATGAAAATATCGGTGTATTCAGTATTAACTGGGCAAAAATGTCAGGAATGTTCTGAGGAAGTTCATTTTGGCCCCATCCCTAACCTGCTGGAGAATAAAATTTCCTACCAGAAATAATAATGAAATTTCTCTTCCTCTTGTTGTTTACCATCTCCCCAAAAGTGAAAATTTTTGGAGTCACTGATATACTTAAACATTATCTACAGCACATATGTTTATTGAGAGGATACTATAAATTCACAGAAAAACAGAAATCAATGCTTTGGAAAGATTTAGCAATCACTGAAAATAGCAATAACGTGGAAATAGAAAAGAAAAGGGTCTAGGGAACCTTGGCTCTTTTATGATTTGTGGACTTCAACTGCCAGAATTCCTGAGTCAGCTTGGCTGATTCAGGAATTCTGGATATTGAAGTCCACAAGTCATAAAAGAGCCAAGGTTCCCTACCCTTGGTCTAGGACAACTCGCCACGGCAGACTTGCCCTATCCAACTTCCCCAGCCATCTCCCCAAGCTAACTTGCTCTGGCTGACTTGCTGCAGCTAACTCACTGTGGGACAATTCAATGTGGGATAACTCAAGAGAGGCTGAGGTGAGCCAGAATGTGGAGTCCCAGCCTAAAGGACCTAACTTGAGAAGGTTCAAATCTAAAGCAAGACAATTCCCACTGGAATTTACTTGTCTCTCTCTTGTGTTATCTCACGTTAAGTTGTCCCACAGTGAACTGGCCATGGTGAGTCAGCCATGACAAGTCAGTTGTCCCATTCCGAATGGAAAATGCTTCTAAACAAACTTTCACTTTTGTAAAATTGAGTTTCAGATCCACTTTACTTTTAATATGCAAAGTGCCAAGCTTCATTTCTTCTTGACCACTTGTTGAAGCTAGAAAATGTCATTAACTTTCATGAGGTATTTTTCTTAATATCAATTCCCATCAACTTTGTGAGAAAGTTTGCAGATTTCCCAAACTGAACTTATGAACAAATGGCAGATAGTTCCAAGTGTTAATGAAACTGAAATTATTTAAACATGTTTATCACAATTTTAATTGGGACACTGACTTCTGGGAGTGCACAAGCCACTTATCTAGAAATTCAGAAAGAGAAATTAAAAATATTAAAGGCAATTTTTAATCATTATTAACCACACCCACAATAATTTCTCTCAAATTCATCCGGGGGCAGTATTAAACCCCCCCCCCATTCAATCTTCCTCTTCTCTCCAGAGAAAATCATGTTGTAAAAGTTTCTGAATACATCAAAATTGAGCACACTGCAGTTTCTTATTCACTTAACTGTGTTCCTTTTGCCAAATCAACTACAGCTTCTAAACAGAACTGTGCATCTGCAAAACTGGACAAAGGCCACCTTGGAAGATGGTGATAGGAACGTGTTATTAAATCTACCAGGCCAGAATTCTTCTTTTCAAAACTGAATGGATATCAACTGACTTTATTCTTCACATTTCAAAAGAAACTACACTTGCACTGACTTTGTACAGAGGTTCAGCTGTAATTGAGATTAGTATCCTTTCCTAAGGAACTTATAAGATAAGATAACCTTTATTGTCATTTTTTACTGAGAGCACGCTGGCATACATTAAAAATGAAATTCTGTTGCCTGCTCTCAAAAGAAAGCATATATCTCCCATACACATACTGTACATAACATTCATGTACACATTATATATGTATATTATATATGTATAAAAATATACATATACACAACAGTTCTGCCATGTATTCTCTTTTTTAATAGAAGGATATGAGCTTTGGATGCCAGAGAGAAGGGTTCTAAAGCCTCAAACATCTCTTAAGTCCACTGGGTATACAGCCTACATATCTTTAAACAATTTAATATGCAGAATTATTTTTTAAAATATTTGTTTCTCCAGTCCAATATTAACTAGTCTGCCTGTAACAGGTCTCAAACAGTCTTTCTCATCATCTAACATCTGATCTTTTTTATTCAGAGAAGCCATGGGGTGAACATGGGCTCCCAGCAGGTATATATCACCAAGTTTGTTTTGCATGGGATTAGAACAGAAGTGAGCAACTTTTTCATGGCCAGAGACTGCAGCTTTAATCATGCCACCCAAAATTAGTATTTTCGTTCTGCGAGACGTAAAAGCCCATCTCTGGAACAGAAGGCAGAAATTCCTCAAAACTGGGAAGCATTGGGTATCCATTACTTTCTGAAAGCAAGACAATACTCTCTTGCATCCCAAGCAGCCAATCTCAACTCCAGAGAGAAATATCCTTCAAACTGATTGCAATAAATCACTTCCTAAGAGTTAATAACAAGACTAACCCTGACAGATGTTTGATTGGCAGGCATGCACCTACTTTGCTTCTCTCTGCCTTCTAATTTGTATGCTCCAAACTAATTAGGACTGACCAACTCATTTATTAAACATTCTGAAGGCTGTTCAAAATGAATTTTGTCATTAAAAACAAAATCTCTGGTCACCAGCAAAGTGAGTTCAAAGTCCTTACTCTCCTCCATTACAGAACACTGTGACCAAAAAGTTAATCAGTTGCTTGAAAAGCACAGTGAATACTGATCCATTCATTGATGAGCATCATCCTTGCTAGTTCTATTTTTTAAAAAAGATTTCTTTGCAAGATCAAATCTGGGTCAGTCACTGGGACCAGAGGTTTATTTTTCCGAGCTTTTGGACTCATGCTGGAGCCCATCTTCAGAGAACTTCTTCTCTACTGGAATATGTGCTTTGGGCTATTCTGTGAGTTGTATGTATGTGGTGCCTTCCTATTGGTTGATTAGTATGTTGATGACTGGCAATTGGCTGTTGTTTCCTTGTGCTGCCAAACCTTCAGCTCCTACCGTGTTTTCCCAAAAGTAAGCCCTACTCCGAAAGTAAGCCTCAGCTGATTTTCGGGGGGGCTAATATAAGCCCTACCCCAAAAGTAAGCCTTAGCGCGGGGCAGGGCGAGTCGGCCTGTATCTTCCATGCAACAGCCGGAGTGCCCACCCGCCGCCGACCTGCCAGGGTCCTTTGCCAATGGCTGCCGGTGGAACCAGCTACCGCTGGCCCCGCCTCTCCATCCCATCTGCTTGCCTGCAGCCGCAATAAACCAAACCCTCAGCGAGCCCTGGCCTCCACCCGCCCTGCCTGCTGGCCTACTGCTGCTGGGACATTTCTCGGCGGGTGCCATGTGGCAGCCAAGTGGCTGCCCGTGCTGCTTCTGCCTCGTGGGGCTCTTTGCCCTTCTGGCCACTCTGACATGGGCTGCCTTGCCGGGCTGCTCCAGCCTGGCATGGGGCGAGTCGGCCCAGATCCGGAGTGCTGCCCCGCTGCTAGCCTGCCAAGGTCCTTCGCCAGCGGCCACCAGTGCAACCGTTCCTTGTATGTTTTAGCCTCCAGTCCTCTAATCATCTTTGTTGCTCTTCTCTGTACTCTTTCTAGAGTCTCATCATCTTTTTTACATCGTGGTGACCAAAACTGGATGCAGTATTCCAAGTGTGGCCTTATCAAGCATTGTAAAGTGGTATTAATACTTCATGTGATCTTGATTCTATCCTTCTGTTAATGCAGCCTAACACTGTGTTGGCTTTTTTGGCAGCTACAGCACACTGCTGGCTCATATCTAAGTGATCGTCCACTAGGACTCCGAGATCCCTCTCACAGTTGCTACTATCACCTATACTATACCTATACATTTGGTTTTCTTGCCTAAATGTAAAACCTTACTTTTCTCATCATTGAATTTTATTTTGTTAGATAGCACCCAGTGTTCAAGTCTGTCCAGATCCTCCTGTATCTTAAGCCTATCTTCTGGAGTGTTGGATATTCCTGCCAGCTTGGTCTGCAAATTTGATGAGATCCCCATCTGTCCCTTCGTCCAAATCATTGTTGAAGATGTTGAAGAGCACTGGGCCTAAAACAGAGCCCTGGGGCACCCCACTACACAGTGGGGTGCCCTGAAGTACATGACTACTGTGCTGTTTCTACAGAGGTTCAACTGACCTTGGACTGTATTTGAGTTTTCCACAGTCATCCTATTTTGTGATCTTTTAAGAAAAACAACAAAGTTGTTTCAACTGCTTCCCAAGCAAATTGTTGTTCATGATAAATTTTTCATATATGGCAATATAGGAACCCTCAAAATAAATAAGAAAGTAAATATCTATCTCACATGAAAAATTTGATTGGAGATCTTTGCAGCAGTTTGAAAGTCCCAGGCAATGATGGTACGATCGGCTGAATCTTGGCTTACTGCATCAGTGCTGGTAAAAAATTCTTTTCCTTCACGGAGAAACATGATGTCCAAGGTTTGTTGAACTGTGGCTTTGTAGACTTTTATAACCTATGATTTTAAAAATTCCAAAAGACAATATTTTTTTGTTTATTCATTATGTTTCTATCTTCTTTCCTCCAGGCAGTGAATATAGCACAACCCTCTCAAGTGATTTCCAACTTCCCTTCTCTGACAAATAGACAAAGGCCACCTTATGATGATTAGGTAAATGAAACCTGCCACTCAAAGAAATGTAAATTAAAAACACTACCTCTTGGCTGGATCCCTGATGGATACGGTATAAAATGAGAGGGCTGAGCTTCTAATATCATTCAGAGGACATGTCATATCCATATAAATATACAGGTAGTCCTTGACTTACAACAGTTCATTTAGTAATTGTTCAAAGTTACATTGGCACTGAAAAAAGTGACATGATAATTTTTCACACTTATGACCGTTGCAGCATTCTCATGGTCACGTGATCAAAATTTGGATGCTTGGCAACTGACATGTACTTATGACTTTTGCAGTATCCCCAGGGTTATGTGATCATCTTTTGCAACCTTCTGACAAACAAAGTTAATGGGGATACCAGATTCATATAACAACCTTGCTACTAACTTAACAACTGCAGTGATTCACTTAACTCTGGCAAGAAAGGTTGTAAAATGAGACAAAATTCTCTTAGCTTAAGCAACAGAAATTTTGAGCTCAATTGTGGTCGTAAATCGAGGACTATCTATATATCTATATTCTCCCTTTATTCCACTAAGTCCCATTACTAACATAAGCAGATGAGTTCAAAACTGGGGCAAGATTTGGTAGTGAAAACTTATATAAGTCTCTAGTCTAGAGTAACATATTTTTTAAAATTATTTATTAATTAAACAACCTTTACATTTCCTGATAGCAACTTCAATTTTCATTTAGTAGTTCTCCTTTTCCACATGGTTTTTATTCTATTAAAACGTTTATTAAACTATATGAAACATAAATTCTGAAACAGCATATTGGAATCATCATTGCCATCCTCCTCTTCCTTATCACCTATTAATACTGCTACTGCTTGCTATTAATTTCAAAGTTAACTTTTTACACTATTTAATGGATGATCTTTTGATGTTCTCTTTCTAACCATTGATCAAATTTCTTTCAAGGAAGAAGACTGGATTTTATATAGTAGAATCTTTCTGTATGCTTTTAAAGAAAATTTCATTAGATTTCTTGATGTTTTTATTTTACAAAGCACATATTTTTCTAACGTTATCCATTCTCTTTTTACACTTAACTTCAAAATGTCAAGCTGTCTTCAAAGAAAGACTGGTGCTTTATTGTTCATGCTAAAAAAACAAAAAGGCAGGAGCCTAAGTATTGGAAAAAGTTGGTTCTACAGTAGTAAGACTGGTTGTTATCCTATAAAACACTAAGCCTGGTTGTTATGCTATAAAACAAGGGATATGTATCGTCCAAGTGTTTTTTGGACTTCCAGATCCTTTATTGTTAGCCATGCTGGCTAAGTATGAAAAGAACAAGCAGTGGAACTCTCATTATCACCCAATAAGTTTCCTGGACTAAGAGGGCTCTTGGTATCTGGCAAATTATTTGTTTATTTGTTTAATAAATTTGTATGGCTGCCCATTTCAAATAAATAACTTTGAGTAGCTAGTATATTAAAAATAAAAACAAACATACACAAATATAATAAATACTGTACATTGCTACCATGAAAAATCACAACCATTAGCCCAGGAGATGGGATCCATCCATAACACCCTTGGGACCTGGGAACAAGCACAGAATCAAGTCTTTAAGGCCTTAAGAAAAGGCCAGATGTTAAAGGCCAATCTAAGGCCTTTAGGCTTCAGAGATAATGTTCCAGAGGGAGGGTGCTAGGACACAAAAAGTTCACCACTATTGCAAACAAAAAGTTCTCCTTAGCCATCAGGACTCAGAACATGCCACTGGGACAAGCAGAAACAACAAAGGAGATATGGGTATGATTCCCTAAGTAATTCCGACCCAAGCCAAGAAGGGCTTTGAAGGTGACTGCCAGCACCTTGAATTGTATCCAAGCAACTGTGGACTTGTTCCGTAACTGAAAAATGGACAGACAGAATCACAAATACCACAATTAATTCTCAATGTTCGATCAGGCTGGGAAGAATAATTAAATAGGGGAAGCATGTACAGTATTGCTTATGGGATTCTTCCTACCCCTTAACCAACAGTGATTATTATAGAAGGCATCTCTATTTTCTTTTATGTCACAAAGCAATGGGTTGCATTTGTGTTGAATGTGATGATAATGGTGCTATCCATTCAATCATGTCTAATTCTATGAAGCAGCTCTCTCCACATTTTCCAATCTTGTTCAGCTTCTTTTAGTTGTTTTGGTTGTTTTATGCTCTGGCTGGTTCAAAACAGCCCCCATGTTTTTCTTTGTTTCACTTTACATATTTGTAAAAATATAATCAGGATATGCATATATATGTTGCCTCTCTATTTTGTCTGTGTATTTCTGTTCTCCCATTGTATTGCATCTATGCATGTTTGTACGTGTCTGTACGTTGCAAAGCATGGAGAAAGCTGGTCTACGTCGTACAATTAAAGGTATTGTCCATCTCTAGGGCATGGTGCTCATCTCTATTTCTTGGCCAAGGGAGCCAGCGTAATTAGGAAGAGGGAAAAAGGGGCTTAGAATGGAATAGTTGGCATTATTCTGAGCAACTCATCTTCAGCATCTGTTATAGCAGTGGTTCTCAACCTGTGGGTCGGGACCCCATTTGGGGTCGATCGACCATTTCACGGGGGTCGCCAAGCAAGGCTTTCCGCCATTTTTTTTGTCCGCCATTTTTTTTTGTCCGCCATTTTTTCCCCTTTTCCGGCGGGTGCCTTACTTCCCTTGGGCTGGGCCAGCTGGTGGTCGGCCTGCTCCATCTCTGCCGCTTGCCAGCTACACCTCGGCCGGCGCAGGGGGCGGAACCACGCATGCGCGGTGCTCCCGGGCAGGGAAAGTCCTTGACTTATGACCGGTTGGGTAGTCCTCGACTTACGACTGGTTTAGTCCTCGACTTACGACTGGTTGGGGTCGCGGCATTAAAAAGGTTGAGAACCACTGTGTTATAGGAATGCACTGGGGAATTTTGTTCCTGTTTTTTCTTCTAGACCCTTGTTGAATCCAATCATTTTTAAACTCAACCCCTCTTTCGCCAGCTCTCCCTTCTTGCTCCATTCTGTTTTGGAGAGTTATGCTGACTGACAAGAAGAGATCAATAGAGGTAGCAAGTCCCTTTGCAAACTTTCTTTCAAGCATCCAGCAGGTTGGGAAGAACAAAAAGGATTCTCAAACAGAATACTATCAAAATGAAGAGACTGCTTTTGCTGCCCTGTGCCAAGATTCTTGCTAAACACACAAAATGATTAAGATTCTCCTTTCAATATTTGCATGTTAATTCTAAACTAAGCTTTATTTCTGCAAATAAATAATTGTACTTGGATAACTTAATAAGAGAAAAGATGAACATTGCCACAAAAATTAATGTAAACTACTGGTTAGGAGAACTATAGTCAAAATAGACAGTGTTTTACATATTAAAAGCCTGCTTCAGCTGGTTGCTGTGGCCTTTTGAACAAAAATTTTGGAGTGGAAGCAAGTGGAAGGAACAACCTGCCACAAAAGTTTTGAATGATTTCAAGCTGCACAAAAAAATTGTAAATTTCTGATTGAAAGGGAGCACTCCAATAAACACATTGTACAGGAAATTGTTGCTTGGCAACAGGAATCTTTGGAAAGGAGAGAAGTTAAAAAGATCAGATGGGGAAAAGCATGAAACTGTAGAGAATGCTTGACAAGCAAGTGGAGTGACAGAAGCTAATTAGCTGTAGAGAGAACATAAAGGTGAGAAAAAAAGAAGCAAAGCAAATAGCTACTGCGAGTCCTAGAATAAGGGAGGCCAAAATTAAAAGATAAAATTCTCAGAAAACATCACTCATAATCTGACTCTAGGTACCAATGAAATTAAAAAGGAATAGGATTTATTTGTTAGTATGTGGGACATGCCCTCTCTTTTTTACTCCTTTATTTTTTGAACAAGCTGTTACACAATCTTGAAAACACATAAAGTAACTTACAGATTGGTTCCTTTAGCTACATTTTTCAAAATTTCAGATGCTCTATTCCAGACTTCTGTGGACTTGCCCAGGACTTAATTAAAAATTGTCTAATCAGGACTCTCAATGACGTGCCTCAATCATGGGTTGCAAGTCGATTTTCCGAGACTCACAATATTTTGGAAGCACAGTATACTGCTGGAAAGGATGGGGCTCTGAGCAGGCCATGGGAGGTTTCTCCTGGAATAACAGCAGCAGGGTGTCTTACTTCAGTTTGCTTCAGCAGATTTCCCAGGAAAATAGTTCTTGGCAGGCCAGGCTACATTGTCAGAAACCTGAGACCTCTTGCAGCAAGCAGCACCACCCTCTGCGTATTCTTACCAACTTTGGTGCTCTGAGACTGCACCAAGTCTTTGGTGCAAAGAGGCCCAGCTAGGACAGAGTAGACAGGGGCTGCTCAAGGGGGAAAAGGAGGCAGCAGCCAAGGAGAAGGTCCAGACCTGACTGCCTGCTCTCTGTTGGCCAAGGAATGGGAAAGAAGGTACCCAGCAAGCAAGATTTGTTTGTTACACAAAGGATAGAAAGAATGATGCTGAGACAAGCAAGCAAAGATTATTTTGAACAGTTCTAGAACAGATTTTTTAGATTCTGTTGTTCTAGATATGATCATGAAATAAACACACCCTCATATAGAGTACATAAGATGGTGTTTTAGCCAATATAAAACACTGCCAGCTAAATGGTCAAAGTGAAATGGCTATGTTACACAACTCTTATTCATAAGTAGTGTTTTGCAGTTAAAAATAGCCTATTTACTAGATGTATGTTTAACTACATATTATTATACTTTTCATTTTTTCCCTATTTGACTCACTAGAGATTTTGAATCAATATAAGAATAGACTTCACAGTTGCAGCCTTCAGGCTAATAAACTAATATGGCATTAATACAGCAT